GAGACACGCAAGGGCGGAATATGGCACACATACAACGGTGTGTCGGGAACCGATTGCAAGCGCCTTGACTACATCCTGACAAGGCAGGCACACGGCTCAGTATCTAACGTAGTCGTCATCCCCCAGCCGGTTCGTCCAGTCAAAGCAGACTCAGACCACAGTATGGTAGTAGCCACCGTCAACCTCGGTGGCAGGCTTGTCCACAACCGTGCAGTCCGGACTAAACCGAAACAGAAGCAATTCAACCGACGGGAATTGCAGTTCGAAGCAGCACGGTGTGCGGTGACTAATCGGTTCCTCCTCAACCTCGACACACGACTGGACGAGCGAACAACCACCGCCGCGGAATTGGCGACCGACTTTACCAATGCTCTCCTCGACGCAGCGCGGACGACCCTGGGGGAGGAACCGCGGAGACGCCGCACGCAGGAGTGGTGTGAGACCCCAGAGACGCGAGCAGCGCTGGAGCAGGCCCTTAGCAAACGTCGGGAAGCGCGCCGGGCGATGAGGGGCAACTGGACCTTAGCAACGTGGAGGGTTCTCAAAGCAGCGTGTAAGGGAGTAGCTTCAGCAGTCGAAACGGGCATTTATGCCCACCTGGACGGATATGTGACTGAGCTCGAAGAAATCTACAAAGATCGCGACATGCGAGGACTGTACCAACACCTCAAGAGATCAGTGGGCCTCAGCGGGAGACAAGCGGGGGGACAGCAGTTCGTCGCGGATGAGAACGGCGTGTTGCTCCGGAACAGGGACGACATCCTCCAGCGGTGGGCGAGATTCTTCAGCACCCTACTCAACACCAAATCCCCCACCCTGAACCCAGACATCATCGAACGAGTGACGCAGCGGCCAGCGACACGTGACGCTCAGCGGTTGGGAGATGTGCCAGAACTCGAGGAGGTGGCACGGGCAACGAAAGGCTTCAAGAAGTGGAAGGCACCCGGCCATGACTCCCTCCCTGACGAGTTGCTCAAGATCGATGACGACGAACCCTTCGTCCTGGGACACCTCCATACCATCCTCGTCAAGTTGTGGAACGGAGGAGATATTCCGCGAGAGTGGAAGGATGCAACCATCAAGGTGCTGTACAAGAAGGGTGACCGGTCCAACTGTAACAACTACAGGGGGATTTCGCTACTATCTCACGTAGGCAAGGTCCCCATCAAGATCATCACCAACCGTCTAAGCGCCTTCTGCGAAGCCAACAACATCCTCCCGGAGGAACAGTGCGGATTTCGACCCGGGCGATCCACCGTCGACATGCTGTTCGTCGTGCGCCGCCTCCAGGAGCTGGGGCGGAGAAAGAAAATACCGCTCTACATGTGCTTCGTCGACTTGAACAAGGCGTATTATTCGGTGGACCGAGAGATGCTATGGAAGGTGCTGGCCAGGG